GGAATTCCTTTGGGAATGTGATTCCCTACCCTGTGGATCTGCCTTTTTGAAGGCGTTTCCGGCGTCGACGAAGGCGGAGGCGGCGTCGTGTTTGCTCTGCAGCTGCAGGTGCAGCCGGGCGGCCTGGCAGAAAGCATTCCCTGCTCCTGGAAAAACACGGAAAAACAGGGATAACGGGGCAATCCCGGGATTCCCAGCCCCCAGAAAACAGGGATATGGGTCATTTCCAGCTCATCCCAGGTATCCCAGCTCTTGGAAAAGGGACACGAATCATTCCCAGCCCGTGGAAAACACAGAGACGGGTCAATCCCACCATTCCCAGGGCATCCCGGGCATTCCCAGCCCCTGGAAAACAGGGAAAACCAGGGATATGGGTCAATCCTGGCATTTCCAGCTCCTGGAAAATACGTGGAGATCATTCCCAGTCCTTGGAAAACAGGGATAGGGATCATCCTAAGCATTCCCAGCCCATAGAAAAGATGGATATGGATCATCCTGAGCATTCCCAGGTCATCCCAGGCATTTCCAGCCTCTGGAAAACACACAGAGATTATTCCCAGGCATTCCCAGCCCCTGGAAAACACAGAGACGGGTCATTCCTGCCATTCCCAGAGCATCCCAAGCACTCCCAGCCCCTGGAAAATACACAGGAATCATTCCCAGTTCCTGGAAAACTCAGATACGGATCAGTCCCGGCATTCCCAGGGAATCCTGGGCATTCCCAGCTCCTGGAAAAGGGACAGGGATCATTCCCAGCCCCTGGAAAACAGGGATATGGGTCATCCTGGGCACTCCCAGCCTCTGGAATACACACAGGGATCATTCCCAGCTCCTGGAAAACAGGGATACGAGTCACTCCTGCCATTCCCAGCCCCTGAAATACACACAGGGATCATTCCCAACCCTTGGAAAAGGGACATGGATCATTCCCAGCCCCTGGAAAATACACAAGGATCATTCCCAACCCCTGGAAAACAGGGATACGAGTCAATCCCGCCATTCCCAGCCCCTGGAAAACCCACAGGGATCATTCCCAGCCATTCCCAGCCCTTGGAAAAGGGACAGGGATCATTTCCAGCCCCTGGAAAACACACAGGGATCATTCCAGGCATTCCCAGCCCTTGGAAAAGGGACAGGGATCATTCCCAGCCTCTGGAAAAAGTACAGGGATCATCCCCAGCCCCTGGAAAAGGGACAAGGATTGTTGCAGGGGCAGCAGGAGTGTGGGAATTCCCAGAATTCCCGGAATTCCCTCGGGATCGGGGACCCACCGCTCCAGTTCTTGGCCATCTTGAACATGTTGGCGGCGCGGCCGTAACACTCACACGCCTCCTCCAGCCGGGAAGAACCCCTGGAAAAATGGGAATGACAGGAATTCCAAGGGTTAAGGGGGCAGTTGAGGGGAAAAAGAGGAGATTTGGAGAGATTTAGGGGAGAAACACAGGGAATTTGAACAAGGAAAAGGGGAATTGGGGGGG